AAAACTTAATTGATTACGACTTGACAGCTGTACCTAGAGTTCGAAGTTTTCACATTTGAATTTCATAGGAAGTTGAAATCTTTCGAGAGAGCACATTCAGTTTTTCAAAATTCAATCCCTTTTTAGCAGCGACAAAACAACACTTGTTTGACTGACATGCTATTTAAATCACCGAAAGGTCTTTTATCGTCGTTCGGAAAAGTTGTTATCGAAATCGCGAATTACTCTCTTTAAGATGTTCAACATAAGCAACCCTCACTGGCGTTCCCACACATTCCTATAAGGCACGTGTTATTTGGGTTGCGCTGAAAAGAGCCATCAGCTCTGCAGGTTTGTCCGGCATAGATACGAGTAACGGTGGAGACTCGTTTTTAACTCCTCCAAATCAGTGCTTTTTCTGTCCAAGGCATCTGCAGTTTGCTTGGGATTTGGGAAACAAAATTTCCCTTCAGTTGGCAATCACCATCACTGAAATCGCTGCTCCCTTCACCACTTATTTGAACATCGTAGTTATCGTGAAAATTCAGAAAAGAGGCACTCACCTAAAGTTCGTTTCATCAGCCAAAGTTTTGCATCATTTTCAGAAACTCTTTCTCCTCTGGCCAATCCCTTTCGAAACTCTTTCAAGCTTTCTTTTCATTTTCTTTTGTGGTCACAATAAACGACTGGCAGCCAATCCCAAAGCCAAAGCCATTCCTCCGATGTTGATATTCTCACCTTGCTTTTGTTGCGTGCTCGGCTTGTAGAAGCTGGAAAACTGTGGCTCCCTCATGTCAAGCTCTTGATTATGCACCTTGATGTACAGTTTCAAAGCATAACTTGTGTCAGGAAACATTCTGTTTTGCCTACTTTTTGATTCGGTCATTTGCTGCAATCCAATCGAGCAGCTTTGTTCAATTCTCTTGATATTTTTCTCATAGGCCAACTGGTATTATTTCACAGCCAAATCATGTCTAACGGTTAATTTTTTTTAATTAGGTACAGCTGTCAAGTCGTAATCAATTAAGTTTTAACGATGACATATCTGAAGTACAAATCTAAAGAAACTGATTTTTCGACGAATATTCTAGTTTACTTAAACAAAGCAATTTGTCATGATATTTACCTTTTTCGGCGAATTTCGTTTTTGTTTGTTGGAATTACAAAATTTGTCACTAAATTACCATTATCAAAAAGGTTTGAAAATTGAAACGTCATGAGCTCGCAGCAAATGAAGGAATAACACAAACTACAATCAGACAGTACATTGCACTCAGTATCATCGTGTTTTTCGATGATTTTTTCAAACAAATATCGTTAGTGCAGGACGATCGCACAAACTGCCATTTAAACACGGAAAAAGTTCTTTTTTAGTCGCTTGAATGTTTGAAATGTTAAAAGATCATAAAAAAAATTAGGGAAAATCAGTGCTATGACCTTTGTGTTATCTCAGTCTCTATACTAGTAAAGTGTGCCCGGAACAGATCACAGAATTACCCCCAAACGGCAAAGAAGAGGTTTTCTTTAATGATATTTTCGACGCTAGTGCTAGGTATATTCACGACCTGAAAGTATATGAAACTGAAAAACAAACTATGAGGGCTCGGCTAGAAATCACATCTCCCTTTTTGCAAATCACAAACACTTTACAAATGTCATTGCTTCGATGAAGTAAACTGTAGAGTTGTTTAAAAAATCGATCGCTTTTCCGGTCAAATTTGTCTTGTGATATTTATCATTAAATTTGAAGTCCTTAATTCATATTACCAGTAGAGATTCTAATCAAACATTTTCCAAAGGTTTACCGGCCTAAGAACCCACATGGAATTTTGGGAGAACAAGAGAAAAGCTTTTAAATCACTAGCTGGCGGCGATTAAAATAGAAACTTTTCAAGTGTTTTCCCAACAACTCAGATATGTTATTACGCCGGTAAAATGATGGAAAGTGC